ATTAAATAATCTTGAAGAGGTTGATACCACATTCATCTGGATTGTTTTAAACCATACAAGGCCTTACATAATTTAATACCACGATATTTTCTTGGAGCGGGTTGATTTAGAGTTCTTGTTTCTAAGCCAGGTGGAACTTTCATATAAATATTTGCATCAAGAGAACCATATAGATATGCACTTACTACATCCATCAGATGTATCTCAAGGGTGGCATGAACTGTCATTCCAATAATATATCGAAATGTAATTGAATCCATGATTTGAGAATATGTGGATTCATAATCAATGCCAAATCGTTGAGTAAATCCTTGAGCAACAAGACGAGTTTTATAGCGGGTTATTTGGCCTTGAGTATCTCGCTTGTGTATTAATACCATTTTATATCCCACAGGGCGAGATGTAAGAGTGTCTACAATTGGACCAAAGACTTTCCTCTTACACAAAGAGGCATACTCCTCCTCAATAACAGTTTTCTATTTTGATCAATCTGAGCGATGCATCGCCTCTTCGATGGTTTGAGGTTCAAGATTGTCTTCTTCATAAGAAAGGGCTTCTATAATCATATATGCAAATGATTCATCTACTGTAATAGATGGTTTGTCCCAAATATCATCTGTAGTATAATATAGAATAGATAATTCTTTACTCAACTTGTTCTTATTCCTTCCAATTCCAAGATTATTTTTCATAGGAATTGAAGATACATTATGCATGGATATATCATCATGAATTGGTAGTCCTGCAAGATGAGTGGCAATTTCTTGAAAAATAATACCAAGATTAGTTAATTTTATAGCTTTTTTTTATGTGGTTGTTTATCTGGTCCACGAATTCTTTTAGTTGTTGTTGTTATAGCTTGAGGTATTATAGTCAATGGCACTGCAATTTGAGTAGGTGCATTGTGAGCCTCATTAATAGGAACTCTTGTAATTCTACGTACATCATTGAAGCCATTAGGTGTTTTATTTGCGATCCATTTTAAATGTAAAATCTTAGCAACTTCAATTTCTGCCAAAGATGTCCTAGGATCGGGATTCATTGTAAATGTTTTTGGTGCTTCAAATATGAGTACTTTATTTCTTTGTTGATTGGATACTCCTCCTTAAAGAGATGGGAATACAGTTTCTTCAAAATAGCAATTTTGCAAATGTGTATGTAATAATGTGTTAGTTGATGGATCAACAATACGAATAATGCTTGGTGAATCAAAACCAACATATATGCCTTCTTGTCAATGAGCTCTAATGGTACGCTGTTGAGGTTCTGGTACTGGAATCTAAGCACTGCAACCAAATATTTGTAAGTGAGATACATTTAGAATACGACCCAAAATGAGCTCATGTGGTGAAACAATTTCAAGAAAAGAAGGGCAGAGGCATAGTAATGCTGCAGCATGTAAAACTACATGACCCCACATAGATGCATGTAGATTTGCATGAAGGAAGAGTGGCCACGTAATGAGTTATATACACTTTATAAATGACTCTGCAAGTCCATTTTGAGCATGTTCATATGGAACACAATATGTCAACTCAATTCTTGTTGCAGTACAATAGTCTTCAAAAGACTTTGATGCAAATTCTTTTGCATTATCCATACGCAATGTTTTTATAGGATAATTAGGAAAATATGCCCGAAAGCAAATAAGCATAGATATAAGATTGGCAAACACCATGTTTTGAGTTGATAATAATGAAACATGTGATTGTTTACTTGATGCATCAACAAGGACCAAAAAATAACGAAATGGTCTTGATATTGGATTAATAGGACCACAAATATCACCATGCAATCTTTCAAGCATTGGTGGTAATTCTTGTGGAAGTTTCCAAATTGAAGGCCGAGTAATCATTTTACCTTACATGCATGTACGACATAATTCCATAGAGTCTACATCTACAGGCTTTAAATTATGCCAAGTTATACATGGAATGATCTTTCTAAATAATGTGGATCCTGGATGTTCCAATCGTCCATGCTAGAGAGAAACATGACTCTCTGAGATAGATGATGCAAAATTAAATATAATGGGAGGCCAAATCACAATTTGGTATAAACTATTTTCTATAGCAAAAGCTTTTTCAACAACTTTATGATTCTTTGCAAGAACCAAAACCTCTTTTCTATTTAAAGAGAGGTGATAATCATTAATATGCACATCTCAGTAGTTGATCAGACTCCGAGGTGCTGAGGGTGCAAACATCACATGTTTATATTTTATGATAGAACCTGCAGGTAATTTTACCATCACTGTGCCCTCTTGGAAACAAAATGCATTTGCTCCAGCCATGGTCATCATATTTTTAGTTTGCCAAGTTGAAGATTTTTCAATAAAAAATCGTCTATCTCGTAAGATAGTATGTATTGTTGCAGAATCAATGAGCGCATCATTTGATTCATCATCAGAGGTTCTATCATTCATATAAGCCTCTAAGTCATCAACACCAATTGAATCCATGGACGTATCCATGGTATGAACTTCAGAAGCCTCAGCTCGTAATTTCTTATTTTCTTAGAATATTTTAATAAAATATTTTGAAGTACGGCATGTATGTGGTAAATGTCCAATCATTCCACACTTATGGCAAGAACACATCTTTGATTTTTGTTTTCTACTATAATTAATAGTAGAACGTTTATTCTTTCCATATGGGTAGAAATGGTCTTAATTATGACTACCCTGATACTTATGAGCACGTTTCCTATGTTTATATAATTTCTTCTTAGACTTTGAAATATTAAATGCATGAGATTCTGGAACTATAGTTCCAATAAGATGAGCTTCCGCATTGTGCAAGAATAGCTCATTTTGCTTCTCCGCAAGAAGTACATAGGACATGAGATCAGAATGACTCTGAAATTTCATGTTCTTGTATTGTTGTGCAAGCATAGTAGATATAGGAGGAAATGTAGAGAGAGTTTTCTCAATCATTTCTTCTTCAGAAATGCTTTGTCCACATAATCGTAATTGTAAGACAATACTATACATTTCACTATTGAAAGCATTTAAATTTGGAAAATCGAAGACATGTAAATATATCCAATTATGACGTGCACATGGAAGAAAAATTGTCTTTTGATGATCAAACCTAGATTTAAGATTCTTCCAAAGTTCTGCAGGATCTTCTATTTCCAAATATTGATGTTGTAATGCAGGTACAAGATGACATGGAAGGAGAAGGAGTGCTTTCCAATGAATAGTAGGAGGTATAGAAATACTTATTGTAGGAGATTCTTCAAACATAATGGCATCCAAGAGTTGTTTTGCAAATAAATTTACTTTTGCCATTTTTGCCCATAATAGATAATTGTTTCCATCCACAGTCAATGGTGGAAATAAAAGAGCTTGAAAATATTAGGATGCACTGGTAATAGTTGGAACCATAATAGAAGCACTTGAAGATGTTGAAGCACTCATTATACATAAATCTGTAAAGAAAATACAAGTTCAAGTAGAAAAGTTGAGTAAAGCGTACCTTAAAATATAAAGTCAAATAAAATGATAAACTTGAACTTGAAAAAATATAAAAAATATATATATATATATATATATATATTTTAAGGAGATTGTAGATTAAGGGAGCAGAACAGCAATAAGATGGCGCAGCAAGCAGCAGTAGGGCGGTAGCGGTCAATAGCGGACAATGGCAGATGGCAGCGGCGTTAGGGCGGCGATGGCGGCAGGCAGTAGTGTCAACGGCAACAGGGTGGCAGGGGTGGTAGTGGCGGATTCGTTGGCAGGTTGGCGAGAGTTCGGCAGCAGCAGGGAGCGAGAGTAGGGAGCAAGCTGGGATAGAGTTGGACTAGATCAAGTATTCTAAGCAAGTAGGGTAGAGAGTGGAATAAGTGCTCTAAACAAGCTAATGTGTGAGGGACTAGTAAGAAGAACAAGATCATGAGGTAGACACTGAGCAAAGGTAGCAACAGGTTTGAAGAGTTAAAGACTAAAGCAAAAAATTGTGATAGTGTGTAGAAAAGAGTCGTGCCGATAACGTGTTGAGAATATTTAGAAAGACACAAGAGTAGTAGTAAGTCATACACACAAGAGGGTTTCTAAGGAGAGAGAGCTTCACACCCATAAATCTATTGATTAGGTTGTGTCTCGTATACAAGAAGAGAAAAGAAGAGAGGATAAACAATACTTCTCCACTAGACTCTAAATACTATAGCTATGGTATTTACTATAGTCTACAGTAAATATTATGGAGAGCTCTAGCTACATTTAATGATCTCAACACAAATCATTTAGGGATGAAGGAGACCAAATCATCATGATCTCTATTTGAATGAGCTTGCTTGCCGCCTCATTGAGGTCGCCAACCAGCCCAAAGTAGACACAAATCAAACATTCCACAGCGTCGACATGGACCTTCTGGAAAGGTGTGCTACTCTTCCACGACAACCCACCACGTAGCAGAGGAAACCGAATAGCACCAGTCTCTTCAGAGATCACAAATCCGAATTCACATAGCCTACTCAAACCTCCATCAAAACTCATCACTAACCAAACCTGGTCACGCAACAAATACCAAGAACAAATACTACAAGCACTGCACGATTCCAAAATCGTCACCGAAAAATAGCAACCAAACAAGATGAACGTGAAATATCCTCGCCCAGAGAGCACATCTGTGAATTATACAAGGACGATTTCACGTTAGGGCTTCAGGGACAGTGCAAATGAATAGGCAGAATTGGACAAAACTCAGTCAGAAGTTCATGATTTGAAGGGAACGGTCTGGTACTATACTAATTTTCAAACAGGCCTCCGCTTACAGGGCCACGCCGCTGCACGCACACAACCTTAGTTGTGAAGCGGCGCGAGTATAAATTGTGGACAATGTGGCGACTACAAATAAATTTCCCACATTTTAGGAAGCTTGACAAAGGCATACATAGCCAACTGAATGTTACACATTGCCCAATTCCGGTCATGCGTGAAAATCAGCTGAAACACGATGGTCTGAATGCACAATTCCGCAGTGAAAGCGATTTGATAGCAGTAGTACAATGAAGAGGTTTTAAAATTACAACGATGTATACAGAAATATTCCGGAGCACAAAGACGCGGATGCATTAGGCTCGACGAATGAATACAAGCTGATTACTATCAGCCTCGAGGAGTACTAAGAATGACGACCAACCCGACAAAGAAGCCCCTAGGTCGGGTCTTATCGGCAACTCCTCGCATTAGATTGAAAAAAAAACCTAGCCAACATGCAACAACATCCAGCTTCAGACGCAGCGGGCTGATACTAGACCTTGCAAAAACTGTTGACCTTCACCTGCAGAACGCTCTAAGTAGGCAATCTACTCCCATTTCTCCGCAACCAGGTTGGCCAGGTCGACGACCCTCTGTGAGTATCCCCACTCGTTGTCGTACCATGCCACAACCTTCACCATATCGTCTCCCATGACCATCGTCAACGATGAGTCCACCGTAGATGACACATCAGTGCACCTGAAGTCCACTGACACCAATGGCTCGTCGCACACGGCCAACACTCCCTTCAACTGCTCAGTTTGGCATGCATCTCTAAAGGCCTGGTTTACCTCCTCGGCAAAGGTCTTCTTCTCAACTTGGACGACCAAGTCTACAACTGACACATTAGGGGTGGGCACACGGAGGGCAATTCCGTTGATCTTTCCCTTCAGATTTGGCAATACGAGAGCCACGGCCTTGGCAGCTCCGGTGGAGGTGGGCACAATGTTCAGGGCTGCGGCACGCGCTCTCCTCAAGTCACGGTGGGAGGCATCGAGCAGCCTCTGGTCACCAGTGTAGGAGTGGGTAGTGGTCATGGTTCCCTTGATGATTCCGAACTTCTCGTCCAACACCTTGACGAAGGGAGCAAGGCAGTTGGTTGTGCACGAGGCGTTGCTAATGATAGCGTCCGAGTGCTTATAGTCCTGCTCGTTCACACCCACAACGAAGGTGGGGATGGCACCCTTTCCTGGGGCGGTGATCAGGACCTTCTTCGCCCCAGCCTGGATGTGCTTGCCAGCACCAGCCTCGTCAACGAAGACTCCAGTTCCTTCGATGACCAGGTCGATATCCATGTCCCTGCAATACAGATGATCACGGGTTAGTCTGCATCCCACCCGTAAGAGAATAACAAATGTAACGACTGATAGAAAGAAATCTTAATACATGCATTGATACCCAGGACATCAAAAAGTTCAATCTAAACGTGGGTTGGTCCATTAATTCTTACCCCCATGGCAAATTCAAAGGATTCCTGTCGGAAACCACCTTGATGACCTTTCCGTCGACACTGATGGCATTGTTGCCCTCAACCTTCACATCTGCATTGAAGGTACCTAGCATGGAGTCGTACTTCAGCAGGTGAGAGGCCTGCTTCACACCTCCGGTGTCATTGATGACAACAACATCAAGGGGTGAGTCCTTCCTCCCTTGCCAGCAACGGATGAAATTACGCCCGATACGACCGAAACCATTGATGGCAACCTTGATCTTAGCCTCAGTGACAGCCCTCGTGGCTCCAGAGCTGGCAGACTGGAACCAACCACGACATTCTAGTGAGTATTTAGTATTCAACTTTTCTATAGATAGATTTCTTCATACTACTCAAATTGGGTTTTGTGAGAAAGATCACAGGCAAGATCGACACGTTTCTTACCACGGCAGACTGAGCAGCCACGATAGATGCGAGGTCATCAGAGCGCTTGCCGAAAGTGACGGCATTAGTGCTCTTCATGCCGGAGAATTCAGAAAGCCCCTTTGAGCCCGCTACCTGTAACCAATTCAACAGTAATTTAGGTACTCCATGTGAAAAATCAAGTCAGAAACCTTCTACGTTCTTCGACAACACGAATTTCCCAGCTATTCCGATCCACGTTGATTAACGAAGAATTGTCGTCATCCTTACTACTCCCGACCGACTCCTTTGCACAATTCGATTTCAGAATTACAAGAGCTTCGAATGCAGATTCACTACACATCTGAGGTTCTCAATTGGGAATCTCACCCGCTAGCCGAAGCAATTTCATCTTGTTAAGGCTATTGAATTGCATCACTAAGATTCTCAGACCAGGCAAGATGGCAGCAGCCATACACGGATGCAACAAATCCTCAGCGTTCTGAAAGACATTCATTGGCACTACACGTTGCGCTACTCATCCACATCACAGCTAGATTGCGATTATCCCATCCTCATTTTCACCGCAATCGGCCTCTCTTGTCTGAAAACTGTAGCCGTCCACACAGTGAAGATGAGCTTTAGAACAGGGTGTAGAGCAGAAATTGGCAATACCTTGAGGGAAGCATTGCTCGGCACAGAGACCGCCGTGAACGCGGTGGCAGCCATGATGCAGCGCTGCTCCGATCAGATGTGACGGTGAGGGGAGAGCTGCGATCGAATGAGCGAAGGTGTGGCAGCCTGAATGAGTTATCAGGATTTGTGTGCAATTTCTTGCCAGCCGTTCAATGCAAGAACGCGTGGCCGTTCAAACGAGATAAGCTTATCCCTCGCATTCGATGTCTGTGCATCTCGAGTTGTAGCATTCCAGTGGGTGATTGGTTGTGCAGACAGGGGTGTCCGAGGTGGCACAAAGTATCGCTGACATGTCTTCACGTGGGGCCTTCTCTCGCTCTGCTTCGGGCTTCCAACCTCGTCACCACGGGTTCGCAGGAATCCTGGAAACGCCCACCGGCTGTGGGCGGGGCTGTGCGAGGGTGGTCTCGAGGGTGGCCTTACCTTCTCCTCGCCGGGCAGGCGGAGGCACAGGCCACAGCCTTTCCTTCGCGATCATCGGCGAATATCTTCGCTTTGTCTTTCCACCCTCATCTCTGCGCCATCCCCGTCTTCCTCTCTCAATGCTGACCTCCAAAGAAAATGACCCCGTTTTTTAGATTTCATGATAATTGTGTCAAACATCGGAGTACTTCTAGACCAGTCTTCATGTGTTTCATGGGAAGCTGGTCGACCATCATGGACGAAGGAGGTCTTGCGCTCCTCCTAGTCTTTAGGTGTACAAAGGTTACCCATTTCAGCTCCAATCAATCGCCCTGCGGATTCCAATATCGTCGTCACGGGAATGGCGAACATCGAATCTTTGAGGAGCATCTCTCTAGCTTTCCTCATCATCTTCAAAAGCACAACGAAACGGCTTGTTCAATCACATGGATAGTTCGTCTGTCTGACCAATTTTCAAGGCATGGATGGAATCAACTTCCTGCAGTTAGTGGGCAGCTCTGAGATAAGATCGGGGGATGAATACGTAGGCAAGTGGTGCAAAATTGAATCGGTTGAAATTCTTGTGTTAGGAAATCAATATCACTTCGTAAGAACGATGCTGCCGCTCTGTATCAGACATACTTGTCAATCCTGGATTGTATTATACTTGGTGGTATCCAGTCGGACAAGGAAGGGGATTGGGGAAGATCTCGTTGTGGGAGTTGTTGCGTGACCGCATTTACTTCGCTAGCGCTAGATTTCCGTCCCCCACTTGGATTCGACTTCTACAACTCCACCCACTCCAACTCGTTTGTTTTGTTTCGGTCTTGGCAGTTTTTGTCCAGATGTGATTCAACATTCGGTGGGCATCGTCCATGTGAGGTCGCTCTTACGGTCTGCTTCTGGTGCAAAGAAGCGCTATTCCCAGCACCATGACGGTGTTATGGTTGATGCGACGGAAGACTGGTCATAAGTTGGGGATCAAGCACGTTTTTATGACTTGATCGAGATTAGAGAGATTTGCAGGGTCAATGCATCATACTCTACCACATTGAATCCTCCATGTTGAGAAAATTGGAATCAGGTCTAGTGGGGACTCAAATAATCAGGTTCTTGTGCAAGCTCCGATGCAAACTATCATTGGACCAACAAATGAGTTTCCTTCTTCCCGGTCACAAACCTCGTAAGGTTTCATCTGGACCTCTCTTCAAATGTGATTAGCTTTTACAGTTGCCATGTTTTCTTCCAAAAATTAATAGGAATTGGATTTAGTCATATCACACCATTTGTGTGTAGAATAGTGTTTAATTTCTTCTCCTCAGGTTAATCTTTATTTGAAAAAGATATGTAGCAAGGATAATTCTATTTTCTTTTATTGCTAAGTATATGTCAATTAGAAGCTCTCTTCTATCTAATTGTGGTACAATAAATATAAATATAAATATATGTTATATTCTAATGCAAATCATGATGTGGTCTTTTTTCCAATAGGTGTTGCAAAATTACCAATTCTCTTGGTGGATCCACCAATCATGTATTCACAACACTACATCACACATTGTAATAAAAATTTGTCTTCAAACAAAGACATATATATATATATATATATATATCCATACAAAAAGCTACTATTTCAAAACAATAGTACAACAAAAAAAATTATTGTTGTAAAGATGTAGGCTAAGCTTTTATTTTTCTATGTAGAAAAAAATTCACTTGTAGAAATTCACTGATCCATAGGAATCCACTTATCTGTAGAAATTTATACAAAAAGACTTGTTATACCTATAAATATCCACAATTTGTAGGCATTATTAAGATTTTAGTATTTTTTTTTGTAGAAAGGATTTCCAATGTTATACTTCATGATTTTTTTATAGCTCCATAACATCTTAATATACTTCAAGATATCAAATCCATATTAAATCCTTTAAAAAATATTCTTGAATTTATTCTTTATATTATTAGTATTTAATTAAATATACTTAATTTTATAATATTATAAAATTAGAAATTACTATAATATATTTATTTAAAAATTAATAAATTGATATCCATTTTTCTAATTTATACTTTTTAATAGATTAATTTGAAATTTTATATGAAATAAAATTATGATAGTAATTACAAATACAAAATTTAAATAAATTACATAAACTTGAAGTTTTTTTCTACTATATTATTGATGTTTTTTTTATTTATAATATGTTTAGATTTTTTTGATATTTTTTAATAGAATTAAAACTTAAATTAATTTTTTTCTATTAACTAAAATTAAAACTATTGTGCAAAAGATACTACTTTGACTTTATATATATTTGTAGTTGATTGGTAGGTTAAAAACTTAATCAACAAGTTAACAATGTGTTGATAGCTTAAAACATAACTTGACTATCTCAAAAACTCCAAATCCTTCTAATCCACAATAATATAAGGCCTTGTTACAAAATAAGACAAAAAAAACCAAAATAAATTAAATTAAATAGAATAAGATATGAAAGACAAAACTTAGTAAACAGAAAGAAAATAGAACAGAGCTAAACAAAAAGATTTAAAACCAAATTTTATGAAGAGAAAGCATTAAAAGCTATACTTGACTAAATGTCTCAAAAGGCCTTGGCTAGTTCTATTTATACCTTGTCCTATCACTTGGGACCTTCTAGAATGTTTCTAGGTGATGGGCCCCATTTAAACAACTATCTTAAATTCTTTTTTTAGAAGGTTCTATGATGGACTCCATCTAAGTAATCATCTTGAATCTTTTCAAGAATGTTCCTCGACAGATCTTACTTAGTCCACTAACCTAACTTCAATTCTAGAAACTTCCATGGTTCTAATTATTTATATAATTATCTTATCTATATCTTATTATATAACTTGTGGAATAAGGTAACTATGTAGCACACATATAGAAAATTTGCCTTGAAAGTTAAGATACGTATCTTGCAAAGTCAACACATTTTGGAGGTCATATAGGACATCTCCACATAGGTCCTAGTTAAGAATATATATAGAAGCAAGAGTGAAGCCTTCTTCACACTTGTTAATGCCTTTTTAGTCTTTAGTCTTGTTTTAAGACTTTCTAGTTTTCTTGTTTTTGACAACAGCCATTCTAGTTCAATATTATATCATCTTTGAGTGACTTTTTAGTTCTTTTCAATGATACAAGAGAGTATTGAGGATTCTCTTTCTTCAAGATTTATGTCCTTGATAATTTGTTAAGAGTACTAACATACTATTTTTGTCTTATTTTAGAAGTAGGTGAATTATTCTACTTTTATTATTATATTTTTAAGGTTGCAAACTATCCACCTTTAAAAAAAAAATCTTTTTTTCTAATATTATTCTTTTCTTTAAAGAGAGTGGATAATCCTTCTTTATACAAATATTTATTAGAGGTTGCAGATTATCTTCTTTTAATTTAACTTTTTGAATTTACTTGAGTTTTTTATAGAAGGAAAGATTACGGATGCTACTCTAACAAAAATGAAAATGGATTCGCAACTATTGTAGATCTTCATGAGCTTATCAATACTCTAAAATAGAAATTTTATGTATTTTCAATCTGAATCATAGAAGTACTATACCTACACATATAGTAGAAGTTTAGAGTCTATATCAAAAAATTGTGCAGTTAAAGAAAGCAAGTAGATTGACCACACAATCAAATCTAAAGAGTTTTGCTTCTATAAGTATGATGGAGATAAGGTTTAGTATGCTTGAGAAGTTTGATGGAACAAGATCAAAATTTAAAGGAATTTTGTAACAAGGTAAGCTCTATCTAAAGTTGCATCTTTTTCAATATTCCAATGGATTTACTCAAGTCAGATTCATAGGCACACTTGTATCAAGAAGTGTTCTCTCTTGGTTTATACCTTTAATAGAAAAAGATTTGTGACTACTTAATGATTTAAATTCATTCCTAGAAGTTTTTAGGACCACATTTAGAGGAAATGATTGTAAGAGACTAGCAAAGACCAAGCTCTTATCTTTACAGTAAGGATCACGGTTAACCACCTTATATAATATTGAATTCCAAAACTTTGCTTGTGATATGAATTGGAATAACAAAGACCTTATCAATCAATTTTGATATGGGTTGAAGGATAATGTCATAAACTTATTACTGACAATACCAAAGACAAAATCTTTCAAACAATTTATTACTCAAGCCATTATATGTGACAATCAATTATTTGAAAGACATCAAAAATAAAGATATGGCTAGAAAGGAATAAATCAAATAATGATGGCAGCTCTTAAGTTTTTAGAGACTTATTTATCAAAGCTAGAACTAATACAAATTGATACAATATATTTTAAATCTCTCTTAAAGTGGAGAAAGAGTCAACAACATCAAAAGAATTTATGCTTATATTGTGCAGAAGCTCAACATACTAGTCAACAATATCCAAAAAAATAACACAATTATAAAAAAAAAAGTATAATTACTAAAAAAAGATAATGTGTTAAAAAATGAATTACTTTTGTTATAATAGAGACAATGCTGTGAGCATAATTAAAAGCTCCAATGATTAGTTATAATTATTTTTATAATTTTTAACATATTTTTACTAATTTTAATATTAATATAACTAATTAATAGATCTAAATTAGTTTTTTAGTTAATTATGACTTTAATCATATTTTTAGATTGTTAATTAGATGGATACTTTTAATTAATAGATTGATTGACTATTTTAAAATTCAAAAGAAAAAATAGTAAATTTAGAAGGTTTATGATTTTTTTTTTCTTGAATTAATTTAAATCTTTTTTTTAGTGATAAAACTAAAATTTTAGTATAATTTTTCTTCTAATTCTTAAGAATTATATCTCAAATTAATCTACAATCTTAATTTTCAATCCAAAAGCTAATTTCTAATTTTACTATGGTTAGAAAGTCCTTTAAATCTAATTGTTCTATCTTCTTAATTAATTTTGAGATTTTTAAGTTTAAATTTTGTTTTATAATTTAATTGAATTAAAAATACAAAGTCTAATTTTTAAATTAATGATAATCTTAAAAGGATGAAGACAAGCTAAAGTTTTGATAGAGTTTCCTCTCATAGTGATTTAAATCACTACTTGAAGTTGAAAAAAAAGAAAATTGGAAAAAAATCACAAGCATATTAATTCAAGGCCAATTTGCAATTAGATTTTGGATTTGCCAAGAATTCATGCTTAAGGGAGTTTAAATTAAAGAATGGTGATTATTAAGGCTTTGATCGTAAGAACCTTTATTGATTTCCAATTAGGCTAATTAGAATTAGAATTGTAATTAAAATTTACAACTAAATTAGCAAATTAATTGGTTCTTATGATTTAGAACTCAAATTTGGGCTTGTGAATTATCTATCTTAGGATAAAAATATGTTTTAGAGACCATGGTGGTGTTATTTTTACCAAAAAGGTGTTAGTATTTGAGTTCTAGGAATTTCCAGCCTTGAAATCGGAGTTAGGCTGAGAGTTATTGAGGATCCTTGATCTTGATTAGGAATTTTTCGATTTTGATGGTGGAGATGTGTCCTCCACTCTTGGGCCTCCTCCCACCTGGTTAAGAGGGCTTGAATAGCTGAGCTCCCCCTCTCTCTCCATCTTCTTGGGGGGAAGCCATGGCAAAATGTCCCCTCATCTTGTAAATGCAAATCTTCTTCTTTAAACTTGTATGGCCTCGGTTTTAACTTGCTCAGTCTATCTCTTTTTATTTTCTTTTTATGAAAATTTTTAAGCAAATTCTATTCACTTCTAGCTTTGTAATGGTATAAAGCAAGCTTGATTTTAAGTTGTGACAAAAAAATTGGCGAGTTTTCAAGAAGGTGGGGGTCTATTGCCTTGGGAAAGTAGGAGCATCGGATTAAAAAATCTATAACTCGGTGACCTCTAACTCAACTTTGATGTGGATTGTTGAAATGAATGCACTCTAAAGTTTAGTTTACTAAAAAATTTAAATCACTAATTTTTGAGCTATATCAAATTTTTAATGAATTTTTAAATACAAAGAGATCTGCTACCTTGGTAGTTTTGAACAACCAGCTTTGAAAACTTTTATCTTAATACTTACTTACATTTTTGTGCTGAAAATTTTTGGAAAAGGAATTCTACTAAGTTTGGTTTTAGGAAAAACTATACTTTTCAATTTTAAATTATTAACCGATTTTAAGTGAATTTTTAAGTAGAAGGGGGTCTGCTGCCTAGGCAGCTCATGTCACCTTGATTTGAAAACACACATCTCAGATGTCAAACCTTGGATCACCATGAAATTTGGTATATAGAAGAAACTCTAAGTCAACCTTAACTACAAAAAAATTCAAGCACATAGGAGCTATAGGAAAATGTTGGCGAATTTCTGAACAACAAGGGATCTGCTGCCCTAAACTTGACATACTTTAAGTAAGTTTTCCTTCCCTAATCACCCTCTAATCACATCCTTTAGCACCTAAATTTCTATATTATCACTTATTCGTTTTATTATCATTAATTAATATTACTTAATAATTTCAAAGATATTAATCTTAAATTAATCTTAAATTCTTATCTTTCCATCCATTTTTATCCTTTAAAGATAAAATAAAATAAAAAATAAAAAATAATATGATCTTTTAATTTTTTCTTGTTTCTTTTAACCTTAACCTTTAAAATTTTAATTTTAACCTTCAACTTTAAACTTTTACTTTTAATCTTCAACTTTTATTTCCGTTATTTTTGAACTTTCACTTAACTTTTAATTATTAATTCTAACTTTACTTTCAATTTTATTTTTTACTTTTTATTTTTAATT